TTCTTCTACGGAAAATACCTTGGCTCAATACCTTGCCTCGTTGGGCTGCGCACCTCACTGCTGGTACTCTTCGATAACCGAACGGGGTGTGAGATATTCTCCGATGGTGGCGAATTGGTGATCAAAACTAACAAAACAGCGGCGTCAACGAGAATGAAAATGCTCCGTGAATTGCTTACCCAAATGCAGCAGGTCCCCCACTTCGAAGTCCAGCGTCTGAATGCCAAAGAGGGCATCCGGCCATCGCAATAACTGCAAAGTTTAGTCCTGGAGAATCAAAAGGATCGAAGAATACCTGTGACACGGAGACCGTAACTGTCTACGAAAGGATTACGCCGTTTTCGTAGAGCGATGCGACTCAAACTCACAGTCCTGCGATCCAAGGTTCGATCCACTCTGTGAATCCAAAACTGAGATCAAGTTTGGAACAATTGCCGCCAACTGGAAGAGCCTCGTCAGCGGAGTACAACACCATGCTCGCAAATACCTCTCGAGCGCCGCCGTCTTTCTCGATATAAGCACACAAATTCTCGTTTTGGAACGGAATAACCATGTGGTCGCCGGGGGCAGCGACGACCGTTGTCGTCCCAGGTTCCTCCTGTTCTTCATCGAGTAGCTGCGCAATTCGGATCTCTCCCCATGTAAAGCCGGCTCGCACTTCCTGTTTAATGGATGAGAACACCCTCCTGTCTTTGGCCTTGGACTTGCCCGCGAACAGCTGACGATCTTGCCGACGAAGAGACAGACGCCATTCTGCAGCTCCAGAATCGCGTCGGGAATACCCTTGATGTTGCTAGAGGATCTCAATAACTGGACAACGATTCGACCGAAATAATTTACTTTGTCTGTCGGCCAATGGATATAGCTCTGCCTATTCGCCAGGCTTGGCTTTGCGTACGAGGTACACCGTAGTCTCGAGCCTCACTGACCGCCAGTGGAGGGCAGCAAAGAGCCGCCGAGGACCCCATTTCCGTGGTCACCGTGCGCATTAGAGTTTCTACCATATGTTCATTCTTGACTTTGGTGAGAAGCTAAACAACCCTCATTGGCAAGAGCACGGTTGTGATTCAGGACACTGACGATGACATTGTTATCGCCGTCGCATAACGCAGCAGGGATGAGTCTTCGGGTGCACATAAATGATAAGCTGGGAGAGCAATGCGACAAAAGAACTTACGCATCGGGCCGATCATAAACAGCTGGTCGCAACACTTCAAGCGGCAGGCGCACATTCACAACAGACATACACACCTGGCAGAACCTGGTTCAGTTTGGGATACGCTAAATCAAGTGAGCAAGTCAGATATTGCACATAAATGGCGAAACGCACCGCGACCCATAAGATCACCATCGAATGCTGGTATACCATAGAAACCGGCCATGACCAACGATTGCATACCGTTGCTGCCTCCAATTTCATCGCTGGAAACATAGTGTTGCAGAGGTGGTATGCTCTGTCATTCGCAGTTCGACGTACCATAATGTCGCAGCAAAACTCGAGACTCCACAGAACTTGGCGAGCTGTTGTCCGGCTTGCATGATATCAGCGCCAGCCGTCAAACGCTCCGAACCGACCGAAGGCGACCCCATAAAGCCTGGGATGCAAGGACTACAGTGAGAACCGTCATGCATCGATCGAGGACGCTCGTACCACCACGAGCAAGAACTGCGTCATCTGCCAGCGACGAGTGGTCGACGATTCGGAGCACTTTTCCATCACGGAGCATTTGCCTAGTCTTCAAGTACGTCGGATACGGGTTCCCGCCTCCGCCCTGCAGTACGTGAGTTGATGGCTAGTACAGCAACTGGAACAACGTACGGTCCCGAGCACTCCGCATCCTTCTTGGATAAAGACTGGGGAGAAAGGGCCAAAAATTAGACAACGAAGATGCACTTTTTGGGTACTCACACAAGTCGGTCTCGCTCAAAATCCATTCATTGCCCACAATCTTCGGCCTATACGACCGATAGTCGATCCCTGTTTCGCCGTCACTCCCATCGAGTATAATTTCTTGCGTTGATTCGTGTTCTTCCTCTGGATCGGTATCGTATGCAGTGTCGTTCTTTGGCAACCACGACTCTTTTGGAAACCCGAGCTCCCCAATTGCCTTTACGATGATTCGTGTTGCTTGGTTAGTGACATACTGGCGATAGGTGAGGAACTGCGACAACGAGGAAGTCATGAGCAAACCTGGACGGGAAGTATGTTGATTTCGGCGATTGAGACACTCTGCTCCTCTGCTCCGGCAACAATAGCCTTTGTGATTGCCTGCGTCTTGATACGCTCCAACACTTCGTGAAGCTTCTGTCCTTGAAGTATTTCTATGGTGTCGATGTCTCCGGAAACGTTGGCAACTGCTGCACCGACAGCATTTGCAACGCTGTGGAATGGCGGGATACTTTGAAAGCTCAATGCAGCACGAGCGGTGTGAAAAGTTACCTACATAATTTCCTCGACACCCTTGAGCTCCGAAGGAACAATGATAGAGCCACCGCCGACTAGCAAGACTGTGCAGTCGTCCGGACTTGTTTTCATTCGGTCTATTACATTCTAATGGAGAAGGTCAGCCGCAAGGCACTTTCCAGCGAATTGTGCCGAACCTCGAGCAGCTTGTGTGCTACTTTCTTGGCTTGCATAACCGTTTCATCCGCAACATGTTCAACTTTGGTCGCGTCGCCGATACCCTGCGCACCGGAACGAACAGCAACGTCGGTGGTTGTCAAAACTTTGCCTCCGAAAACTTTCGCGTCACGAGTCAACTAAGGCAGACCGGTGAGCGAGCATACGGAGAATGGAGTCAACGCCAGCGAACATAATGGCCCACGGAATCCGGCCCAACGGTAACACGGCCGCTGGCATCTGTCCGGACTCTAGACCCTCCACCCAATCCGATAGAGTGGATATCCGGCATCGAGAAACTGTGTCCACGATGAATGGTGAACCAAAGGAATTACTGTGTACTAACTTTGTTCGAACACCCGCAACTGTATCATTTATTAGGTCGTAATTATTTTAAACCTGTTACACGGACCTTCAATGAACGCAGCCGCCTGCCTAGGAAATCCACTGGGAAGTAAGACACCAACATCCGTCGTGGTTCCCCCGACATCCACCACAATCATACTTTGGGGTGTTCCTTCCTTCTTCTGAAGATCAATTCCTGCCAAGAACGAGGCGCCTTCGCGTCCGGCGAGTTAGAGAGGAATCACATGGGGACAAATATCATCAGCGAACCGCGCATCGAGTTGGTGGCGCCAGAAGAAAAGGTTCGGATAGGCAACCTAGCGGCATCGGTCGCACTTGTGAGAGTTCCATCGTTCTACTTATCTTAGCTCCGATTCCAGGATTAAACTCGAAACAAACCTGGGTGAGGTACAGGGGACAGAGCAGTCCGAGTCGCTTCATGGCATTCTGAAACCCGCGGATGGTTCGTTGAGCGAATGCTCCGATTGATGCATTGAGGATTGACGCGTTTTCGCGTTCAATAAATCCTACTTGTGCAACTGTAGAGAATCAGCTGGATTTCGTACTTCCAATTGCATGACAGACCATCGCGAGAGCAAACTATGTTGACGTCTGGTCCAAGCTCCCGGAGAAGGATGTCACGGGCCAAGTATTCGTTCTTTCCGTCGACGTCCAACGGCGAAACTGCCGAGAAATGGTTAAACCGTTCATCTTGAGCTGAAGTGAAAATTACCGACAGACGCCGATGAGCACAATGTCCTTGAGCCCCTTGAATTTAATCTGCCGGGCTTGTTCGACGACCTCGGCCTCGTCGATTTCGTTGATCGGACGGCCGTCACTGTGGAGAAGTTTGCATATCCCAGGTATAACCATGGGATCTGACCTACATCTGCAGTCCTCCTTTGATTATTGCGGTATGACCATTCATGAGCGCGCTGAGGTGCGGAGGAAAGTCTATAAACTGATGAATGATTCAGTCAATTTTGTGAGCTGAAGCGCGACGATTGGACTTGCTGGTGGATGTTCGACAGTATAGGGTGCAGCTAGCCGAACAACTGCGACCTTGGATAATCTTCTCGCGTCCGCTTGCACGACAGCGTTGACGAAATGCTAGAATCAATTGAGCACCATCGGTGTCAAGTCCAACCGGACCCACGGTCGTTCCAATAGTCAAGCTGAGAATCTCTCCCCCTTGAGGATCCAAACCCGCGTCGGCGACGACCTTCCTCACAGCCGCCTCGATGCCGTCCGTTACATTTGGTGTCGTCTCATGTTTGAAGCTCGCGATAACACCTCTTGTCAATGGATCTGAGATCCTTGTGATATCCAGGATCGCTGCGTCGGTATTCGTGCCTGTGCATTAGTAGTTGAGAAACCCGGAGGACGATGTAGAGCTGCGTTGAACCTCCAACATCCACACCGATTCGGTATCGACTCATGGTCCCACGGAAGGTTATTGGATTGGAGTTGAATCACGTTCCTGTTCAGGTCTTACTGAGTTGGTTTGCGAATGGTGTGGGTACTGTTACTAGACTAGTGCCGGGTAAAGAATGATCTTGTAAATTACACGGAGAAAGTTACACGTAATTTACACGTAATTTACATTCTTTACAGAGGCCCTCCGATTTTGTGTGTAAAGAACTGTAAAGTACAGGGTGCGCCTGCAAGCCGATCAACCCACTGGACATTCAAAAATCGGGTCCGGTAGTGACTGGATGTCGCTTCAGCATAGGTGTGTAGCTCCGTCTAAGTGGGCCGGCCATGACCAGATGCCCATGGCCAGCCCTGAACGGTGAAGTTTACCATTTTTTACCATTTTTACAAATATTACAGCCATTTATTACTGTAATTTACGGTAAAAAAATCGGGCCTGCGGCGCTGTAAATTACGGTAAATTACAGGCCCTTTATACTTTACCGGACCCCCCCTCTCAGCGACCTGTAATTTACAGCCAGAATTCTAATATTACCCCGCCCTATACTAGACGGACTCGATATGGCGAAAGTCAAACTGGGTCAAAACGAAAGCAAAAGAATGCATCAGCCGGGAGTCGAACCCGGAGCTAGGCCAATCGCCATTACATAAGCAAGCGATGGGAAGACCCAATGTTACCGCTACACCACTGATGCGTTGCAAACTGTCTAAAAGCAGTACTCAGGTCGGGAAAGGGAAATAAAGTACTAAGTCGAAAGGAGGAACGGACTTGTGATTTTTCCAAGATTTTTCCCTCTTTCTTTTGCTATCCATTTGGAAGCTAGGAATGGCTGTGTTACCAAGTAAGGGTGTGTTGCCCTTTTCGCGCCTGCAGCAACAATCTCAACCCACCTATGTCTTGGGAAAGTTGCATATGTAGTCAAGTTGCATCTTAGTAAGTGAGGCTTTGCTTCCATTGCAATCGAGTGGCTCTCACTTTATTGCGCGAGCAGCTTGGTCAAGACACAGACAGAATTAGAATGAGAGCGCGGACACGCGGACATGTTACCTCATCTCACAGCATCTTGCGCGCGCGTCTGAATGTTTCCTGTCAACGAGTTTGATGGTTCCATCTATTAAGGGTAGAAATTGGTAAAAGCCGGGCTCCGTCAGTGGTAGGACATGCTCAAAAAGCGGGCTCGGGGGGGCTTCTTGATCCGTTACCACCACCATCTCCCACTTTCCCACGCTCGCCCTAACCAGACGACGCTGGGATGAAGTGAGATAGTGGCGAGAATGGGTCAAGAAGGGTTTACAGCCAGGGTTTACAGCCCAAGGGTGACCCCCACACCTGCGTAGCCTACGAGCTACACCGCCAAAGTTGCGGAAGGAGCCTACGAGCCCAATGATAAAGTGATCGAGCTGATGTCGAAAATGACATATTACTGACCATCTGTCGTCTTTCTCGACAAGGAGAACAGCAAGTACTGCGCGCCCTTGACCTTGCTTCCCCTCCCCGTTCCTCCACGCTGCACATCGTCGGGACAATCGCCGCCCTTACCCCATGACTACTTGGTGACTTCGTCGATCATGCTGGAAGCTCAGAGGCTGAATCTTGGACTAAGGGTATGTCTATCCTCCTCCCCTTATCCTCTCTCCTCTCTTCCTCCACCCCCCTGCTCGTCGTGGGCGATGCCCCCATCCCGCTTGACTCACGTCATTCCGGCGCTTATCCGCAACCGAGCCGAGATCACGTGACGTCGCACGGACCTCGTTACCCCGATCGCGCTCTCTTTCATGAAGGCCCTACCTCATGTCAAGTTCAACCTACTGTATGTAATTGAATTAATCTGAAGTGTTGTTGCAAATCCCAAAGTGCTGAAATCCGCCATAATAATTGAACAAAAAATCACTACTACGACGTGCAATTATTACGTTCCGAACTGTGCTTATACTCCAAGCCAGAACATGATTGTGATTTTAAGATATTCTTTGTCCAAAACTGAAGACCAAATCATAAGTCCGTGCGCATCGAAGAATCCCAGACACCATCTGTAATCCAATTTGTTGACATGAAGCGCAAATTAACCCGGCAAGATCACAATGCAGGTCGCATATTCAATCACTGCGAGGAGAAGAACTTTGATCTATGATGTGAAATCTCCTCTATCTTTGATACTGAATGTTCGAGGCTGTCAACCAGCTTCGAATGATACATTTCTCCGTGACGGCGGTCCTTAAACGCACCTTAACTATGCCTGTACAACCAAACGAAACGAGATTTAGTACCTTGGGCCCTCCTGGTGCACGGGAGGGTTTCGGGGATGTGGTACATCCCTCTCGCAAGTGCCTGCCGGCTGCGAGTTCAGAACATGAAATCAGCAGGAGTCAGGGTACCCAGGGGCCTATCCCTGGCTATCTTACACAAGGCCCCTCCTGTAACGGTTCTGTTGCTCTGGCTGTTACGGAAGAAAGCGAAGAGCAACGGGTTGGTGCCCTCCCCAATATTTTGGTTCCAACTGAACACTTATCTTCCACTGTGGCGGTAACTGTTGAGATGGAGCTTGAACCCGGAGACAATATTGTCGAGGGTACTGACCACCTTTTGGATGTCAGTATGGGAGATGAAGAGGTGTTGAACGACCCGTGTATAAACACAAACTTACCAGTGAATACCACAGATTACGCGGACAGTGAAGATATTATGGAAGAACTGTATTCACAAGATAGTGAGCATCCTGGAACTCACATAAAGAACAGCTGGGAAACCGAGAACCTGGCCATACGGAAAAGACACAAACCACCACGCGTGTTGAAAACTGGCAAATTCACACGCTCAAACTTGACTATCGGGACATTGAATATTGCCGGCCGCGATGCGGATATTTCCATGCATCATGATCACCACAAGTTCAAATTCCTCAAGGACACTATAGATGAGAATAATCTCGGAGTCCTCGGGTTACAAGAATCCCACTTTGACCCTGAATCAGCAACAAAATTTTCGAATGTTTTCGGTCGATGGTTCAAACTGTACTACTCAGCTCACCCTGAAAAACCATCCTCTACGGCCGGAGTTGCCTTTGTGCTGAACAAGAAATTTGTGGACACTTATTCTGAACACATTAGGGAGTATGAATTAGTCCCCGGTCATGCCTTAATGCTCGTTATACCTTGGCACGATGGGCAACCACTATGCATTCTGAACGTATATGCTCCGAATACCCGGCAGGAACGGGATCAATTGTGGAAAACACTTTGGCAAAAATGGGCAGATGATACAGAACTTCCCTTCCCAGATGTTGCTCTAGGTGACTGGAATTTTGTCGAAGACCCAGCAGACCGGAGTTCAGGCATTTCAGACACAGTCCCTGAAAGTTACAAAATGCTCAAAGACCTCTTACGCTTATTCGATGGGTGGCGCGCCACATTCCCCGAAACTCGTGAGTACACATGTACCCAACACAGACGAGATAAAGTGACAAATGAAATACACACCTCACACTCACGCCTTGATCGAGTGTGTGTTGTCAACAGTCGGTTCAAAAATTTCAGAGGCTGGGACATCAAACACTGTACAGTCAAAAGCGACCACAGACTCGTTTTGACCCAACTTACATGTAATCCTGGTGAAAAAGCAGGCAAAGGACGATGGAGCCTGCCTTTATACCTGCTAAAATCTGCTAAATTTATGAAGCGAGTCCGGGAATTAGCGTCCCAGCTAGACCGCGACGTAATTAGTCTTCAAGGATCAGAAAGGAACCCGAAGAACAATATCCAAACATTGTGGGCCAAATTTAAATCCGACGTGACAGACCACGGTAAATTCTGTTCACGCTACATTACCAATGAGACCACTCGACAAATACGGATCTGGAAAACTCAGCGAGAGATTATGATACATGATGAAGACATGCCTCTTGAAGACAGATCATTGGCGGCATACCTGATTGACAAGAAGATTACAGACCGACTGTTCACCGAAGCAGAGAAAAAGAAATCACTATCAGAAGCGCGATATGATGTTGAAGGTGAAACCCTAAGAACCACTTCCTGGACAAAGTCCGCCAAAGGTTACCACCCCAAGGAATCGATACGAGAATTTAAACTGGAAGCAGAATCAAAGACGACTGTGCCGCGTTACGAAACCCGGTCGAAGAAAATGGCACAGATGGCCGGAGATTACCACAACTCAATACAAAGGAATGATCTACCCGAAGAGTATGGAAGAATTATGGCGACCGAAATTACCCTTGAGAAATGTAATGTTCACCTCTCAAGAACTGAATTTAACGAAATGGACAAAGGGCTGTCCGCTGAGGATGTACAGGAGTTACTCAAACTCTCGAATAATGGCAAATCCCCGGGGCTCGATGGACTCCCCTATGAATTCTACAAAATCCTCGATATTCTCTTCCAAAGAGACCGGGCCAGCGGTAAGGATTCTTTCAACATTGTGGGCTTTCTCGCGAAGGTCTATGAAGACATTGAACAGTTTAACATTGAAAAAAGCTGCAAGTTCAACGCTGGGTGGATGTGCCCATTCTTCAAAAAAGGGGACAAAGCCCTGATTAGCAACTATCGGCCAGTAACCTTACTAAATTGCGACTACAAACTGATGACAAAATCATACTCACTGTGTTTGATGAACGTAGCCCCGTCTTTGGTACATCCTGACCAGGCAGGTTTTATGAAAGGAAGGAAAATTGAAGATCAAGTAAAACTTGCTAAATTCCTCTTAAACTATGCCGAGGTAGCGGAGGAGAACGGTGTAATCGTGGGGCTAGATCAAGAGAAAGCCTATGATCGAATAAACCATGCATATCTGCTTAGAGTCCTCCAACACATGGGCTTCCCACCGAAATTTTGTAACACTATCAAGAATTTGTACACCAATGCCGAAACGGTTGTAATGGTGAACGGTGAAACCAGTGACCCATTTGTAGTCTCACGCGGAGTGAGGCAAGGTGACCCGCTCTCGTGCTTACTGTTCAACTTAGCAATTGAACCATTGGCCTGCCTCATACGCAATTCAGAGCTGAAAGGGGTGAAGTTCCCCAGCAAAGATGAAAATCTAATCATTTCGCTGTTTGCCGATGACACAACAGTGTACTTGTCATCGGAGGATGACGTCGAGGAATTCTGGAAAATCTTAGACCTCTGGTGTGCAGCATCCACTGCGAAATTCAACGAACACAAGACAGTACTATTGCCATTTGGTCAACCCTCTTATCGAGCCATGGTACACAAGGAAAGACGGATCAATAAGAAGACGAAAACTGGAGTGATTAACGAGAGAATCAAGATAATACCGGACGGACAAACATGCCGCATGTTGGGAGCCTGGATAGGTAATAATGTACCATATACTACTCCTTGGGCTTCTGTCCTTGAAAAAATTACAAGCGATCTCGACAGATGGAATCAAACCTCACCAACCCTCGAAGGGAAAAGACATATCATAAATATGATTATTGGAGGTAGAACACAGTACCTGACCAGAGTACAGGGCATGCCTAAGGATGTGGAAGATACACTCATCAAGATGCAGCATACTTTCCTTTGGGACGGCAAAGTTGCAAGAGTTGGACATGCAACTATGATTTTAGATACGCAGCAAGGTGGTAAACAGATCCTAGATATCGCGGCCAGAAATGAGGCGATTGACCTATGGAACTTACAGGCCTACCTAAGTGAAGCGCCAAGCCGTCCATCT